TGCAGGTATGCAGCACATAAAACTGGAAGACCTTATGAAGATGCTTACCGAGCCAGCTCAGCGTTCCTCTCTCTGCACACTGTGGACTGGGCGGTTTTCTTCTTGTCACCTGTGGTGGATATCCCAGCATTCTCCTGGCCTGTGCTCTCTATCGGAGGACCCACACTAACAATAAGCCCAGACTGAGCCCACTTATTGGCTTTCCGCAGAGCAGACGAAGCCTCCTCCGTGATCACCTCACAGCAGCCGCTCTGCAGAACACAGGCATTTCACTCTTCCAGCATTGCTTTCTGCTCCCCAAACCCATCGCCACTAAACCAGAGCTGACCTTCGTCATGTCCCGATCCATCTTCACCACCTTCTCCATGTTCGCTCCGGTGCCGAGGCGGAAGGGACGACCCTCTGAGCTGCTGCAAGGTGTCACGCAAACACTGGCGTCAGTCTCAACTTCTCCAATACCGTGTCCGAATCCAGGTGTTCAGTGAGGTGAGTGTGTTTTACCTGAGTAACGGCTGAAGCACCTCATGGGACGACTGGTCTTCTCTCTTATGGATGAAAATGGACAGCTTGCCATCCACGGCTTCACCCTCCTCGCTAGTGTCTCTGTCGGTCTTAGCACTGCTCTTCGGACAGGCCCGTGTCAGACTGGTGTCGGCCTCAGAGGCGCTGGGGGAGAGCAACGTCTGGAAACCTAAGAGAGGACATAAAAAAATTACATAAGCATGTTGATAAAGCATTAGGTAATATTAGAACTATTACAGGTAAATTATTAATACATAAATAAATGATCAAATGTGACCCTGGACCACAAAACCAGTCATAAGGGTCAATTTTTCGAATTTCAGATTTATGCATCATCTGAAAGCTGAATAAATAAGCTTTCCATTGAATTATGGTTTGTTAGGATCGGACAATATTTGGCCGAGATACAACTATTTGAAAATCTAGAATCTGAGGGTGCATATTACTAATCAAAAACTAAGTTTTGATATATTTGCAGTAGGACATTTACATAATATCTTCATGGAACATGATCTTTACTTAATATCCTAATGATTTTTGGCATAAAAGAAACCTCAATAATTTTGACCCATAAAATGTATTGTTGGCTATTGCTACAAATATACCCCAGCGACTTATGACTGCTTTTGTGCTGCAGGGTCACAAATAGTGCCTGAAAGTAAAATAAAGTAAAAAATAGCACCTGTGAATTGGCAAGTTAAGTTAAAGTAGTAATTTTGTTGCATATTTTCAACATTTTTTTTAGTTTGTATTTTTGAAAACTGTCTATATAGTTTTTATTACAACTATATAAACTAAGACTGAAATAAACAGTTTTAATTAACTTAGTAGATCAAGTGAAACTAAATAAAAATGAGAAATGCTGTGCAACTAGCAGAAATTAAAATAAGTTACATTTATTTATTTTAAGTTATTTCAAGCAGAACATTTTTTTCTTTTAGTTTTAGCAAACTATAACGTCCCTCAGTTGCAAGGATGTATTTAAATGACCAAAAATGATAATATTGGAAAAAGTAGTAAAAATACAGCTACAGAAAATGTCTATTTGAAATAAACACTGTTCTTTGAGCTTTCTATTTATCAAATAATTGCGAAAAATTAATTGCATCACAGTTTCCACAAAAACATCAGGCAGCACAATTGTTTTCAACATTGATAATAATCAGAAATGTTTCTTGAGCAGCAAATCAGCATATTATACTGATTTCTGAAGATCATTTGACACTGAAGACTGGAGTAATGATGCTGAAAATACAGCTTTGAGAACAGATATTCACATAGAAAACAGCTATTTTAAATTATAATAACATTTCACAATATTACAGTTTGTACTGTGTTTCTGATCAAAAAGCAGAACAGACTTTAATGTTCAAAAATTGTATCGACCCCAAAGCCAGTTATAGAGTGAAGGTTACAGTCTTTGGCCTGAACACAAAGGCACATAAAACATGATACATTTGAGAGACCCTTCATTATTTTTATTAAACCCAAGCTGCATTCTCTCGCACCTGGCACCACGTAGTCCGCCAGCTTGGCCAGCAGCAGCGACGCGATGCGGAAGGCAGGATCACTGGCCTCCTGCTGCTCTGCGTCCAGCGCATTCGTCGCGTAGCTCCAGGACGGCAGCGCTACATTCCCACAATCCTCCACACTCATGAGCGGCAGCGCAGCGCGGCACAGCTGCAGGATGATCAGCACCAGTTTGGGCGAGGGCCGCTGGTCCAGGAGCAGAGACAGGAGTTTAGACACGCAGGCAGGCTGGCTCAGGATGGTTTTGCCAATGTGGCTCCTGGAAGAGCAGAAAGAGAGATGCAACAGTTCAAACTGGGGAAAATCAGGTAAATCCATTAAGAATAGGGATGCACGATATTATTGGACCAATATCGGAATCGGCCGATAATGGCTTTAAATGTAAATATCGGCATCGGCCCGATATGAAAAATTATGCCGATATGTCTTGCCGATAAGAGGAATGCATTAACTCAAATGTGCTCAGGGTGTGCTAGCGATTAGATCACGTCAGTAGTGTGGCTCATCTAGAAGCAAAGTTTTGCCTGAATGGTGATTGGATTAAATGTTTTGGATCGCTGCATTTAAACTGAGAATGCGTTCAGTGTATGATAGAGTAAACAGTGATAGCACGTGCAGCGGCAGCCTCCCCCGGGTCCTAATGCCTGTTCGGTAAGGAGTTTTATTTCCGTAGGGGGCGCTGTTGGCCTACTTCTAATAAAATGAAAGCAAAATACACTAATAATATTTAGACTGTTTCTGATTAAATAAAGCATTAATTGATGCCATAAAATCATGAGTATTTTGATTTAAAAGGTCAGAAGCTTACATGAACAAAAAATAAATAAATCACAAACATGACACTTAAACTAAATAACTTGATATATAATGATTTATTCATTAACGTGTAATATGTTATATTTTTAAAACAAATTATGAGCTCTAAAAGATTTTGCTTTAGACCATTTACAAATGTTAAATCATAAAATAAAACGTAAAGGTTACCGCATCTCTCTGAAAAAAAAATGCAGTGATTAATATATAGTTTATTTATAGTTATTTTCAAATCTTCAATGTACTGTCATTATAAAATAATTATAATATTGTTTATTTAATTCTAACAAATAAGTTCTTGTTAAAAACTAACCCAAATTAAAAAATAATTATATATCATGTTCATGTTTGTGGCATGCGTCAGAAAGATGTTCAAAGAGACCGAGACGCACTAAAGCAGCGCATTCTGTTGTTCTCTTTATTTTTCAAAGGCATGACATTTTGTAGTTATTTTGAATGTAACGTTACACAATTAAAAATATACATTTTACCATATGGCTACAAATATTAAGTTAGTATTAAGTTATTTCCCCTCGATGGGGGAAAAAAATCCAAGTGAACATCAATCAGTACTCAATATTAATTTAAACTGCTTTAAATATGACTGCTGCTTATTTCCTGTGCATTCTGAAGGTATTCTGAGAGTTTGGTGAGAAACAAATGGAAATGGCAAGTTATTATATTTTATGAAAATCTTGCATTGCAGTGCTGCGCACAAGTGCATATCCTTTTGAGATATCAATTATAATAAATTTTAATAAAACACAAGACTACATTATATAACTCTAACAGTAGGCTATTTAATATCGGTTGTTCTCCGGTTGTCAGTCAGAATGACAGTTCTTGCATGAACATTGGTCAACCCAAGCCAATTTATTATTCTTTCCTTTTTGTCTTAGAGTTTAAAATATTTTGAAACAAATTAATTAATTTCTTAATTAAACAAACAAACAGACTTACTGGGTGAGCAGGGTAGGCTAAGATAGCTGTCATATCATACTCTGCCATGCCCAGCTGATGCAAAGAATATAATTTATATCTACACAGAAGAAAGCCCTGTCTAGACTCTGCCCCGGTACGAGTTGTGTCCAGCTATTCATTAGCCTGTTTGTTTGATGAAAAAAGATTAAATGTAGTTGCAATAAATGCGTTAAGAATCCATACAACTGCAGCAGTGGAGGACTATTATTCTGCTGCATGATACTGCAGAAGAACTGATGACGGCACGGTTTGATCTTCGGCTGACCAATCAGCAGAAAGGTGCGTTTAATTCCCGCCCACGTGTAGAAATCGAATATTCAAGCTGTTTATTCATTTTTCCACCCATGAACGAAAAATGAAAATTTAAGCTGAATTTTCATTTTCGTTTTTTTGGAAAAAAACAAAATAACGAAAAAGGAGCCGTTTTCTCATTTTTCTACTTTCAATATTAAATCAAAAAAACGAATGATCGAATGATACACGGATTTAAAACAACTTTATTATTTATAATATTGTTTATTTAATTCTAACAAATAAGTTCTTGTTAAAAACTAACCCAAATTAAAAAATAATTATATATCGGTATCGGCCAAAATGAGTTGAAGATTATCGGCAAAAATCCAATATCGTGCATCCCTAAATTAAGACTTAAACAGAATATTCAAAAAGTTGAAAGTTATGCAGAGTTTAATTACTACTGGACTGCTGAAACACTAAAATAAATGTTTGTTGTGTGTATCAGCTGCATGCAGAATCGCCAGTGTAGTGCGATTCATAATGACTCTTTTGAGCAGGTTCCTCAATTGATCAAAAATGATTCACAAAATGAATCGCTTTGCTTTACTGATTGGCAGATTATCTCAAATGTCACATGTCACACTCACTGCAGCGATTACTTATCATGTTCATGTGTACTTAAACCTTTAAGAACCAAACTTTAGGAAATTAGACTTATATCAGTATAATTTGAATACATAACTTTTATTAATATTATTATTTTATTATTTGTATGCAATAAAATTACAGTTTATTTATTGTGGTTAAAGTAACAATAAATACTAGTTAACCATTTAGGCATTGTCTTAATTTACTGATGTATAAAACATGAGTTTTAAAGACAAATCTGGATGCCCTTGTGAACAAGAAGTGCACTTAATTGTATTGAATGTGCACTTTTAGGCTACTTCAAATCTTAAAAGAACATTTTTAGAAACTGTACTTACAAATAATATAATATTAATGAAATAAAAGGCCACTTAAGTGACTTAAAGAGAGACACTTTCATGACTGTTTCTGAACACACTTAAGTACACTTTTAAAAAGTGACCTTTGTAATAATGTCAAATTAAAAGTTTTACTTTGAAGTACATTTTAAATCATGTTAATAGTTAAATATTTAATCATATTAAAATATGTTTTAAAACCCTGTAACGGTCACCCCCCAATTTTGAACATAGACATGAAAGTGCATTATCCAAACTTAAATTGTTATAATTCATAAAACGCTTTTGAATACAGACCTAAGGTTGGTCTGTTTTTCAAGAAGACAATCAGCAGATTATTGCATAAGTGAAATAATAATAAAAACAAAAATACAAGTATAAAAAAGTTATACAAGTTTAAATTTACTGTAAAGAAAATGTACTGTACTGTATTTATATATTATTTCACAAAATAGTTTTTAATCCAAACTTGCTATACAATTAAGCCACATGTTTAAATAAGTTGTGTTCTAAATTTGAAGTTGATAAAAAAAAAATTGAGGTTCCTGTGCAATTTTGTTTAGGCGTTATACCAAAAACAGACACCGGGTGCCATCCAAACTCCACTGAATTTTTTTATTAAATGCATTTTTCCGGTCACAAATGTATCCATTTCTCTCTCAATATCACATCCATCACAAAATAGATGAAATATTGAGACTCAGACTGTTTCTGAACACACTTGAGTACACTTTTAAAAAGTGACATTTGTAATAAAAAAGTACATTTTAAATCATGCTGCTATTTTAATATTTAATCACATTAAAAATATGTTTTAATCATTTGTCGTGTTTTAAAGTAGTACACTTATTTTGATGCGTTACTAACAAACTAGAGCACATGTAAAGTAGTTGATTATCATTATAACTGTAATGTGTTATTTAATAATACATGTAAAGTTAATATATTTTAAATATTCTAAATTGCAACTTCATTATTACAAATGTGTAATTACAAATATATTTAAATACACGACAATAGAAATGTCATTAAAATACATGCTTGTCAGTACATTCAGCCATATTTCAATCAAATTTAATTATGAAATTACACATAAATGTACTCAAGTGGCTCAAAAAGCACTCTAATGATAAGCTAATTGCATTTGATATAATGCATTTAATTGATGCAATTAAATGTCTGAAAGCATTTACTTGAAGAAACTTAAGTATATTCTTCTAAAGCGTATAACTTCAATAAAAAGTGCTAGTTTTAAATAGTATGCTAAAGTGTACTTCTTTTTATAAACATGCAGAAAATGAACATCCTTGAAACATGAGTGAAACAAAAGGAATTGAGAATTTAACAACACTCCGCTTTATTAACAGAGAAGCGGTTCAGGTGAAACAGGAAGTACCTGGAAAGATCGTTGAGCAAACTGAGCACATCCTGCAGGGCGTCGTTTCCCGCCGCTTGGTTCCCGCAGCAGTCTGTCGCGCGAGCCAGGTGATTGGTTAGCAGGCTAGACACCTGTCGTGCCAGCCCAGAATGCACTGCATCTGTGGAGCCGCCTATTTCACAACAGTGAGCGTCAGTTAACACTGAACAGGATTGCTGTGATACTTCTGGAACCGCAAGCTTTGCTCACCTTCGACTTTTTCCCACTCGATGCAGCGGTTGGCGAGCACCTGGAAAGCAGCCCAGGCCATCGTAGCTACTTTCTGTTTTTTGGTTTGTTTCTCACTGGAGCTGCTGTCTCTCTGACTGCTGAGACTGCACAGTCTGTCCATCAGCTGAACCAGACCGCTGCGCACCAGACACTGCTCCTCACTCCTGACCACAACAACACAGAGCGCTATACTATCAAAATCTTATGCTCTGGCTAGTGTTGACATATTTTCTGTTGTACAGTGTTGTTATTGTTAGCTTTAACTAGTAAAGGCTAAATAAAATCTACATATGCATTGAAATTTTTAAATGAGAATTACTGAAACTTACTGAAATAAAATCAATTTTAGATTAATGTACTAAAATGACTAAAACTGTAATAAAAATAAATGTGCTAATTAAAAATATTGAGGAAAAACACAAAAGAAAATTACAAAACTGCATAAAACTACTAAAACAAAATAAAATTAAACTGAAAATATAAAATAATAACTATTTACTGTTATTCAGCATCACAATTACAACATTTTTCATCATCTAAAACTGAAATAAAAATAAATGAGCTAAACATAAATGGGCATAAAATGGCAAAAGCACATTACAAAATCACTCAAATTTAAACTAAAATGTAAATATAAAAGCTCATTTAAAATCTTAATAAATACTATAATAGTAAATAAATAATACTAACTGCTAATAACACTGATACTGTAACAGTACATTTGGATTTTAAAATCAATATTTTTCAACACCATAACGACAACATTATTCATCACCTAAAACTCAAATAAAATTAGAAAAACAAAAAAAATAAATGTTAATAAAACTAACATGAAAACTGAAAATATTATAATAAAAGCTCATTTAAAATGTTAATCAATACTACCAGTGCATGCAAAAAATAATACTAAAATAACACTGCTACTATAATATCAAGAAATTTAAAATTCAACATTATTCATCATCTAAAATTTAAATAAAAATAAAAAAAGCTAAATAGAAATAAGGAAAAAAATGAATGACAAGCACAGAAAATTACAAAAACAAAGAAAACTGAAAATATAAAAATAAAAGCTAATTTAAAATATAAATAAAACTATAATTGTATATAAACAATCCTAAAATAACTGTAATTGCAAGCTGGAATTTTAAATCTAAGACTATTCAAAATATATATTTTTAAAGCACCTAACAAAATTGCTAAAACTAAAATTAAAACTGAAAATATAAAATGAAATGCTACCTTATAGATTTTTTTTAATACTACATAAATTATACAAAAATAGCACTTTTTACTGTAAAAAAGCATGTTGGGATTTTAATTGAACATTATATCTAAATTGCCACCAATTGCTTTTTTTTTATATACTTTCCAAGTGTTACTGTAATAGTAATCAGTGCACATTATTTCTAAGAAATAATAATTTCCTATTCTGTTGACGTCACCGAGGTCATGTTACATAATTGCATATTTGATTTGATGCAATAAGAGCTGAATCGGAGTGCTTGCCTGGTGTAGGGGATGGTGCACAGCAGGCCGATGCTGTTGGCGCAGGCGATTGGGTAACGGGCGCAGAGAGACACCACTGACGTCATGGTCTCTCCAAAGGCCTCCTGGACCTGCTCCATCATGCCACCGCAGGTCAGTTCCTCCACTCTACACACACACACACACACACACACAGTCATATGGACAACTGAAGCTTCACAGCAGAGATGCAACACTCTGCAGATCGATCTACCAATTTTAAACCAAAAATAAAAAGTTTGGGGTTGGTAAGAAGTCTCTTCAGCTCACCAGGGCTGCATTTATTTGATTAAAAATGCAGTTAAAACAGTAAAATTGTGAAATATTATTACAATTAAAAATAACTGTTTTCTATTGTAATATATAGTCAAATGTAATTTATTCCTGTGAGTCAAAGCTGTATTTTCAGCATCATTACTCGAGTCTTCAGTGTCACATGATCTTCAGAAATCATTCTAATATGCTGCTTTGCTGCTCGAGCAGATATGTAATATCTTAACATTTTTGGGGATTTTTCCGATAATGATAATTAAACAATATTTGGTAACACTTTATTTTAAGTACTATTACTATTATAATAACAATTAATTATGCATTATTACATGCAAGTAACCCTAAGCCAAACCCTAATCCTAACCATATAGTAAGTATATGTAGTTAATTAATATTACTCAGTACTTAAATGTATAATTACACTGTAACAAGGACACCTTAAAATAATGTGTAACCCAATATTTTGCTGGGTGTTTTTGTGTTTGGCTGGTTTAGGCCTGTCACGGATAAATAAATATGACACTAAAATGGCATGTAGGTGACGGAAAGTCCCTGTCTTAATGAGTGATTAATTGAATCATTCATTCAAACAATTTGTTCAAAACAGCTGATTCATTTAGAAACGAAGCAAGTGGCTGTCTTTATGAATGGATCATTGAATCATTGATGCAAATGATTCATTCAAAAACAGATTAATTCAGGCACGAAACACTGCAGTGTTGCTCTGTGATGCACAAGTGTTCTGCTCCGGCTTTGTTTGGGACTATTTCTGTTGCCGAAACAGAAAAAAACGGACAATTTTGTGTCTAAAATGTAACTGACTCAATATTAACTTCTTGTTTGTTGAACTGTTGTATAAAATCAACACCACATTTGTGATCAAGCTCACGTGCTGATATTCGGGAAAAGAGCACCCTTGCTTGTGTGATAGTACTCAACTATATCACATCATATACATATAAAAAACAAAAACCCAAACAGGGATATTTTTTTGCATTCATAGCTTTAATGATAGGTGCATTCTGATAGGCCTCATCATGTAATGAATGCTTTTGCACTCTCAAGACATGTTTTTGTTTGTTTTTTGCACAGTGACTGATAATATCAGCGTGCATATCATTAAAACAACAATTATGATATTATCATAGATGATAAATGTAGGCACACCCCTATGGCTCAAGAAAAAACTTCTGATTAATTTCAATGTTGAGAACAGTTGTGCAGCTTCATATTTTTGTGGAAACTGTGATGCATTTTATTTTTCGGGATTCTTTGATGAACAGAAAGTTCACTGAACAGTAGGGCTGGGACAATAAATCGATGCATCGCGATTTTAAAACTAAACTCAGAATCGATTCAAGAGAGAATCACGATGCCTTCGGAAAATCGCAGAATCGGTGCAGAATCATTTCTCGATTTGCGATGCATCGATTTATTGTCGCAGCTCTACTGAACAGCATTTATTTGAAATGGAAATCTTGTAACATTAGAAATGTTTTAACGGTCACGTTTGCTGAATAAAAGTATGCATTACTTTATATAAAAAAATTAAAATAAAAAAAAGATGAATTTCTGACCTCAACAGTTTGGGGTCAGTAAGAGTGATTTTTTGAAAGAGTGTAGCGCATGTGTAAATATCTGAGGTTAAATGTACCGCGGTCCGCCTTGCAGCACCATGGTAACGGGCCCGACCAGATGTGTGACTCCTCCGACCCGAACAGCGGTGGTGAGCAGCTCCCTCATGTGAACCAGAGCCTGTCTCCGGGTGCGGCCTCTCCTCCAGCGCGTCTGAGCCGCGGACAAGAAGCTGCTGCTGGACACCTGCAGGCAGAAGACGCACTTTAAGAGCTGAATGGCCACAGGGATGTTAGTCAGTGAGCGATGCGACTGTCTAATCTTACGGTCTGATCAGGAGTGGTTCCTATGAAGGCGAACAGCTGTCCCAGCAGCACGCTGTACGTGGGCTTGTCCTTGCGGTCTTCAATGGCCAACGACTGCAGCAGAGTAAAAGAGCTGCTCCGGTGACTGGATGGATGGAGGCGCCTCCTAGACCCACAGACAGACAGGCAATTAGTTAGTAAAAAATTGTAGCAATGTTTAGAATTTACCTATTAAAGCAATAGGCCAATTAAAATAAAAAATCATAACATTAACACAACATTAAAACTGATGTGTGTAATTGGCAAATGTTCCTAAAGGGTTTATTTAGTAACAAATTATTCAATATTAATTATTAAATAAAACAAATAAATACATAAATGCATAAATAAAATGCATGCAGAAATAAAAGCATAATTAATGCATAAATAGAGAAACAAATGCAAACATAAAATGCATAAATGAATGCTGGAATTGACCTAACTTTAGTAATAAGTAAAAAAAAAATTAAAACTGGCATGCAATTTAAGCAAAAAAAAAACCTCAGGCAATTAGTTAGTAAAAAATTGTAGCAATGTTTAGAATTTACCTATTAAAGCAATAGGCCAATTAAAATAAAAAATCATAACATTAACACAACATTAAAACTGATGTGTGTAATTGGCAAATGTTCCTAAAGGGTTTATTTAGTAACAAATTATTCAATATTAATTATTAAATAAAACAAATAAATACATAAATGCATAAATAAAATGCATGCAGAAATAAAAGCATAATTAATGCATAAATAGAGAAACAAATGCAAACATAAAATGCATAAATGAATGCTGGAATTGACCTAACTTTAGTAATAAGTAAAAAAAAAATTAAAACTGGCATGCAATTTAAGCAAAAAAAAAACCCTGAAAAAACATTAGCAATAAAAAAAGGTGTAATTTTTGAGCAATAAATGTCACTAAATTATTAATTTATTGAACAGTCCAAAGGAGAAAGTATTTTAACATGCATAAATAAAAATATATGCATAATTAAATGCACAAATAAATTCACACATGTAAAAATAAATAAATGCATAAATAAAAATATATGCATGAATAAAAATATAAATAAGGAAAAAAATGCATAAATAAATTACATAAATAAATGCATAAACCTGAATTTACTTATTACAGCAATAAGCCAAGTAAAAAAAAACTGAACTTTGAATGGCAAATTAAGCTGTCATAGGAGAAAGTATTTTAACAAAAAAATAAATTAAAAAAATATATCCATAAATTAATAAATAAATGCACAAATAAATATAGTAATAAATAAATGCATAAATGTATTAATAAATAAATGCATTGATAAATGTATAAATAAATGCTAATATGTATAAATAAATAAATGTATAAATACAAAAAACTAAATAAATAAATTCCGTTTTAATAATAATAATAATAATCATAACAAACAGTTCTTAGCTGTTTATGTAATAATGTAGTTTATTATTCTAACTGTAGGCTATTTGTGGTCGTCCAGAACTGTAGATACTTGGTGCATTAATGCAAAATTCAAGTGATGTGTTCTTATAGGTGTGCATATATTCATTCTTTAACCGTGATTTGGTGCTTCTGCTGAGTCTGAGGTACCTTTGTGCTCCATGTGTGAACTCCACATCACTGTTGGCAATCATTTCCAAATCTGAGGGAGCGGACATACTGCGCAGGAACACAGGCTGCTTCACGATGGGAACCATCGATTTGGTGTCTGACACCGACTTACAGGCTGCAAGCAGGAGAAGTTCAAAGTGCCGTTGAGCACATTTGTATGTTTTTGCAGGCGTGTGCGTGTGTAAATGCGTATGCGAGTCACCTGGTGTGCATGCTGGTGTTGTAGACAGACTCTTGCACT